AACAAATTGATAAACAAACAAACAATCAAACAAACAAATTGATAAACAAACAAACATATTGATAAACAACCAAACAAACAAATAGTTAAACAACTAAACAGACAAACAAAACAAACTAGTAAACAGACAAACAAAACAAACTAGTAAACAGACAAACAAAACAAACTAGTAAACAGAGAAAACAAAATCCCCACAAACACCAAGATAAGCTTCCCCTTACCTTAGTCTTTTGGTAAGCATTCCGATAAGTGGCGCTAAGTTTCAAACAGTGTTGGATCTTCTCCCGTACGTCCTTGCGCGGCTGGGACCAGATCGTCTCGAGGCCTTGACATGACACGTAGACTTGACATGACCTTATCATCTGGTTCGTGATCTGTTGTTGTGAGAATATTTACGTTGGGTTTATTTTTTGTTGTTGTTGTTAGAGTGGTTGTTGTGGTTATAGGCGGTTATTATATGCACTCTGTAAACATCGGTCTTAAAAATGGCTTTTTGAACCTCGCTTTCATTTACCAGTCACCTTAGTTCATTAATACTGACCTTGATAAACGCTGGCCTTGATTAACGTCCATATTCATTTACGCTCATATCAATAAACACTCACTTTTAATCAGGATTCACCTGAATAACCTTTCAACTTAACAAACACTCGCCTTGAGGAACGCCTACTTTGATTGATGTTTACCTTGCGATTTTTTTCTAAATTACCACTCACCTTAATTAGCGTTCACCTTAATCAACACTTAACTCTATAAAAATCCACCTCAATTAACAATTACTTTAATAAACTCTAATCTGAAAAAATACAGCCTCAATAAGCACTAAATCTTAACTAACGTTCACCTTAATCATCACACCTTAATCAACGTTCTCATTAACCAACGCTCACCTTAATCAACACTCACCCTACTCAACACTCACCTTAATTACCTCTCCCTTTAATTAACCTCCACACTGGTTAAAAAAAACCTCTCTTAATGAGCGCTCACCTTAATCAAAAGAGCTGACAGTTTCTCGGACGTGTTGTAGTACCTTGAGATCGAGTGTATCATTCTGACTGTGTTGAAGAGCATCATTATGTAAGGCGTCATCCCAGGCTACAGAGGAAGACAGTTTTTTTTATAATTAATGATGATATTAATCAGTAGCTGATTTCAGAAAATGGCAATTCAGTTTAGTTTGTTTGGTTAAATTTATGAGGCATGGGATCAGGTCGAGAGAGAAGTGGTTTAATATATAGGTTATGTAAACGATAGAAAAAATGTTGGAATAGATATCAGATCACGCAACAATAAAGGCAATGTAATTTACATTATTGCAGCAGACGTCATACGAGGATGAGAGGGAAAAATGTTATATCCTACTTAACACGTAATACTAATATACCTTTGTTCGTTAAATATTCCAGCACAAATTACAGAACCCAAGCTTATTTCAACCCAAAAAATACCCACCACCATCACACCCTTCACAACTCACCGGATCATGAAGATACAGCGGGTGGCAATACTCCTCAATAGCATAGACAAACTTGACGTTGTCTTTGGCTTCGGCTAAATTTTGGGTCACTCTGGCATCTGTCTCTTTCCAGGCCTTGAGCACCTTGGATCTCGCGAGCTGAAGCACTAGGACGGACCCTCGTACCTGGTAATAGGAAGGCTATTGGTTTGTTTCATATTTTTGTTTCATATTTTATGGTACATCTGTTAGTTGGTATGTTTATATGACTATTATAGATACCTAGGAAGCTAGATGAGAGAGAGAGAGAGAGAGAGAGAGAGAGAGAGAGAGAGAGAGAGAGAGAGAGAGAGAGAGAGAGAGAGAGAGAGAGAGAGAGAGAGAGAGACGATGAGAATGAGAATGAGAATGAAGATGAAACTGTGGGTGAGAATGAGGATAAGGATGTGGATGAGGAGGAGGAGAATAAAGATGAAAATGAAGATGAGGATGAGGATAAGAATGAGAGTGAGAGTGGATATGATAATGATATTAATAATAAGAAAGAGAGTCAGAAACAAAGAAAAAACTTAACCAGTTACGATAACAGAATTATCCTCTTGATCCCAACACAAAATGAACCATACCTGTGGCGTTTCCATTTCCTCCGACAGGTACTTGAACTTGGCCATCCTTCGCTTCCAGTACTCCAGCTCGTCCTGAGGGCCCGCGTCGTCTGTCTCCTGCCGCAGCTGCTCCATCTCGATCAGGACCGATTCTTGAAGGAGGAAGACATCAGGTTATTTTCGTTATAGAAGGGAATTGTAGGTAGATATACGGCGTTTGGGTGAGGGAATGAGGCGGTGATCTCTTTTTAATTAGACTTAAATGGTGCCTATTAGATACTAGGTGTAGGTAAATATGTATACATACATGCACAAAAGACATACACACTCATAGACAAACACACATGCGCACACAAGCAATCAAACACACACACACACACACACACACACACACACACACACACACACACACACACACACACACACACACACACACACACACACACACACACACACACACACACACACACACAACCCAAGACCCCGATCAGAAGAAAGGACCGTTACCTATCTGCTTGAGCCACATAAGCACCGTCCTCTCGATGGCCTGCACTTGGTCTGGCTGAGTGAGGACCATCTGGGCGTCCGAGAGTGTCCTCACTTCGTCTAACCTCTCCTCAGGTGGCGCCAAGACCACTCGCTCCGCCATGATGGATTTTGACACTGGGGGGTAAAAAAGGAAAGAAATATTCCTAGACCCATTATTATATGGTGCCTTGAGAGATTTTTTTTTTCGAAAGGGTTACCCTCAGAAGGGAGGCAGTATTATATATTTTAATCATATTAAAATAGATATTGCTTTGTATAGGATCTTACATTGTAGTTCAGCTTTTCTGTGATCCCTTTACCCATGCGCATAAGACACAGGAATACATATAAAGAACACACGTGCATGGACTTCACTCTTGAGGAGAGAGATAAGGGGGAGTGGTGGCAAAACCTCCTAACACCAACCAACGATGGACAAATCCCACGACCTTTCTTACCATGAAGACAAGAAGCGAATGACCTGAGCCCAGCCAGGAGGTGGTCCCTGGCACTGACCCCGCTGGCCGAGGTGTCGAGGTCAGACGGATTGACCCTGACCGCCGGCACGAAGATCTTACTCAGGAGCTTCTGTACCGAGCGAAGCAGGATGGCCGGGTCGTCGCCGGTCTTGATCAGAAGGAAGTTCACCTCCTGAGGGGTTAGGAGAAGAAAATATTGGAAAATGTCTTTTGAGGAAAAAAAAATATTGGAAAATATTGTCTTTAGAGCAATTTAAAAAAATATATTGTCATTAGGGGAACAGCATAGGAAAATATTGTCCTTGGAGAAGAAAATGTTGGAAAATATTGTCATTGGAGAAAATATTGGAAAATATTGACCTTAGAGAAAATGATGGAGAAGGAAACATTAGAAAATATTGACCTTGTAGGAAAAAAATACTAGAATATATTGTCCTTATAGGAGAAGATATTGAAGGAAAACCATGGAATAAGTATCTATAACTGATTAACTTTCTAGGTACTTTGATCGGAAAGAAAACTGTGGAATAAGATTACGTACGTGTTTGGCATTTTGGGAGTTGTGAAGAAAGAATGAAGAAAGAAATGCGGAAATGTCCTTTTAGAAACTTAGAATAGTTAAAGAAAAATGTAGAATTATATCACAACTAATTGAGTTTCTAAAAAAAAATATTAGAGAGGCAAGTTTTGACGAAAATACGGCCTAAGAGTAGGCTTACATAATCTACGATCTTCCTAGAAATTTTGGAGATAAATGAGAAATAAAAGAAATATGAGAATAAGAAAGTATAAGTGATTAACTTACAGAAGAAAAGGAAAACCAAAAAGATATGGTGATCTTGGAGAACAAGTACAGGGAAAAAACATGACGAAAAGGTCTAAAACAAAGAAAAATATCACGAAGAACATAGGGAAAGGGTCTGAATAAATATCAAACAACCCAAATGAAAAAAAAAGAAAGAAAAAAGGACACGACGCAAAACAAAGGAAGACAATTATTATCAAGAAAACAACAACATCACACCAACCCTGTGTACGTTTTCCTCCGTGACCGACCTCTGCGGGTTCGTCCTCACCATACACACGCACACGCCGGTCAGCGGAGTGGTTCCCGGCTTGGCGAGGAAAAGCCGCATGTGACGAGACGGCTCAGATTCGGCTGCCTCTGTCGGGGGGGGGGGGGGGGGAGGGGATTTATGCTTTACCTGTTACTTTATTTATTATGTTTACTGTGCTATATGTTTTAGTGACTTATCCTTGATCCTTAATGGGAACCAAATGGAGACGGGCGAGAAAACACTTTTCTCTCTCCTGACAATCCATGATTTCTTGAAGTATCTCTCCTTCAGGAAGACCCGACCCTACATGACCCCACATGACCTCACCTCCTTCGTCAGTCTGGTCTGTGGCCGTCGAGTTCCTCCGCGAGTCCTGGCGGTCGGGCGGCCCGCTCACCGTGCTGCTGCGGCGGGAGGCTTCAGTCGTCGGCTGAGGCAGGAGGGGTGAGGGCGGGGGCTGCGAGGAAGGGAGGAGGAGAGGAAAAGAGAGAGTAGAGGGATGAGACAGAGGTGAAAGGCGAGAGAAATTAGATAAAGTGAATCAGTGCTACAATAAAAGCGAATTAAAAAGTGACGTTTCGAACTTTCCAGTCTCCTCATCAGGCGTCGTAAAAACCGAAGTGATTTTTTGTTTCATTAAATCTCATAAGGTTCCTCAATGTAATTAACTGTTTTATTATACTCAGCATTGTAAAATTTCTAGTAGCTTCCGAAATTATCAAAAGAACAATTCCGAAAAAAATAATAATGATACAAATCTGTTTCCACCGCCGTTTGTCTGATTTTTTTTTTTCAAACTCTGATTCCCATTTACTCACGTCAGAAATTAAATCACAAACATCTTACTCTTTCTCCTTCTATCTTTCCCACTT